CTGCGGCTCTGTGGGGTCCCCAGATAGACCTCACGTGATGGGTTGCTGGCCAGGGAGGGGCTTGAGGACTGCGCCCTGCCTGCCATGGTCCAAAGAAGTGCTTCCAAAGTCCCAGAGTGCTGAGGAGAGTGCAGAATGCGACTTGGGAAAAACAAGGGCTGCCCACAGCACTTCCATCGGAACCTCTTGCCACAGAGATGGGAAGCGACTGGTGTGCATGGAATCCCATGTGGGGCCTCCCAGTGTTTTCCATCAGCGAAATCCATTCACCAAGGGTCACGAATCCCACTGGCTCTACAGAGAAAGCTAAATGTCCGTCATGGCAACTAACGGGAAAGGGAAATAAGTTCCATTTAATTCTGTTTCACACTGACTTCGATCCTGTTGCAATGTCTCACAGATGAGCACTGTTACAGACAAGCGCAGGAAACTCAGGGGCTGTTTAAAGAATAGCAATAGAGATGTATAAAAGGAAAAACGGAGGCATGGAGTTCAGGAACTAGGAGCTTCTTACTTGGTTATTGGGCTGCACAGGAAAAAAAAATAAGAGTAAGGAAATGAAAATCTATCTTCACGATTAAAAAATAAACAAAAAGAAGATCCATATCTAGCCGATAGATTCTTACATTTTATGTTTTTTTAGAGCAATCTGACAGATAATTTATTTGTGCATGAGAACCCCATACAGATCATTCTGGCAGTTTTACAGAGGAGGACAATAACGAGCTAATACTAGAATCCAGGTGGAATTGATGGTTCCAGATTTCTGTCCTCACCTGAGTCCTCACCAGGAATGGAAGTGAAAGGTGATGCCCAAGGCAGTCTGTCTTGAGGGGAGAAGGAGAGGACAAAGGGAGATAAAATCAGGTGGGCAAAGTGTGAAAGTGAGCACCAGACCAGGCCCCTGAAATCAGGAGGAGCCAACAGGAACCTCGGTTGCTGGCCTAATTCAGTTAACAGAGCATTCCCTATTTCGCTTTGGCTGCTTTCATGGGCTATCAGGTTTGTGAACAAACACTGGTTTGTTCTGGTGGACATGTGGGATTCCTTAGCCGCTCTGCAGAGGTCAGCGGGAAGCAGTGTGGACCACTAGAAGCAGTGGGCTCTGGCTGATGAGGATGAGACTAACCAAGTGTAGCCCACCCGTTATCTGCCCATGTGGCGATTTTGTAAACCATCTGCAAGGCAGAAGCAGTAGGCAACCAATGTGTCATTACAAAAATAAATATTTCATAGCTGTCAGCATCTCACACTGGAACTATTTTCTCTCTTCTTGTTCCTGGTAACCCCTCAGCACCCACTCCCTGGCAGGGGACAGGCCCCAGGAACCGCACTGCACTCTGAGGCCCTGGAGCAGTGGGCAGCCATCCTAACCCACCTGTCAGGCGGGGTATCCAGTCTCCAGGACAGCAGGGTTTCCTGACCCTTCCCTTGGACACAGCGTGAGCTCGGTTCCACCAGCTGCCTGGCCAGGGACCCCTGGAGGCCCCGCAGGAGCCTGCTCACAGCCCAGGTCCTCAGTGGCTGTTCGAGGGAGGGAGTGCTCCCCACACCCACCTTTAGCAAAGAAAAATCATTTGTTAAGTGGCACAAAACAGACTCCTGAAGGAAAGTAACTCTGTGAAATTGCTACCTACACTTCCTGTATCGTAAACAATGATTGAAACACCAAGCAGAAGCACTACTTCTCACCGGTCCCATTAAACTGCTCCGCAGTCCATCCTTCCCCACCCTGCATGTAGTTTTAGGCAGGCACCAAAGCCTTTCAGAGCCTGTTAGTTATAAGAACCATCTTGTTTCTTCAGTCAAAATGTCCAGTCTAATATAGTAATCGAAAGTCCAGTTCAGTCCAGACTTAGATGTTCCCCTCCTAGCCTGGGCTGCTTCAAGACTGGAAGCTCACATGGAGACCCATTCTTCTCTCTCCATCATCTCCTCTCCACTCGCTTGCTATGGCTTCTGGTCCAGGCTGGGATCCAGGGGTTAAGGACGTAGCCCTGTATGTCCTTAACATGCTGGAGCAGGGGGAGCCGGCCCTGGCTCCTCTGAGGGTGGCAGATGGACAGTGACTAGCTCTTCCTCTTAGGGGGCACATGGCGGGATTCTGAGAGCTCTCTCTATTGGAGACGTAAGGCCAGCTACCCTGACTCAGGAAATGTCCCATCTCCTGTGGGTCACTTTCAACCTCCCCAGGCGCTGGGCTGCCAGTGGTCTACCCCACCGCTCCAGGCAGTCATCCTGGACAGCATCCAGGGCAGCCCAAATTGATTCCCCATGGACCCAGTTGTTTGACTGACGGAAGCATGAATGAATGCCACTCATTCCCAACCACCCACCTTTTTCCACTTCGCCCCAGCAAACACCTTTCACCTTCACAGAGGGGAGGGGGCTGTTTCCAAGAAGCTTCTCTCACCTGGCTGAAGTGAGAAGGAAGAGCTCCTCTTCTTCCCCCAGGAGGTAGAGGACTTACACTGACAGCTCTCTCTGGAATCACCCACTCACTGAGCTCTCCTGCCTCACCCGCAGGTGCGTGATCACAACTGCTCCCAGGGTCAGTTTCACGGGCCCTTCGTATATCTTGGTTAGTGGCCTAGCAACTCTCTTAAAGATGTGCAGGCTTTTGGTCCTCTGCCTTCAAGTCTGAGATGACCAGAAGCAGATTTACTAGCCTGCCACCTAGTAATTACACTAAGTCAGAGACTCTCGAACCATATGCAGCTCTTTGGCCCCTTGAGTGTGGCTCTTCCACAAAATATAATACCACGTGCGGGCATGCACATACAGCGCGATTGAAATTTTGTGGCCCATGCGCAGAAGCCGGTTTTTTGGCTCTCAAAAGAAATTTCTATCATTGTACTGTTGATATCTGGCTCTGTTGACTAATGAGTTTGCTGACCACTGCACTAAGTGCAACATCTGCCTGTAGGCATCTTTTCCAATGGCTGGGAGCTCCATGAGGTCAGAGGTTGCTGGCACCCTGCTCATGTTTATATCCACCCCAGTGTTTGGGCACACTCTGGAGCTCAATCTTTATTAGTTACTGAATGAAGGAGATGGGCACACAAAAAAGGGAGCAGCAGACTTCCCTCCATACACCCCATTGGGAAGGAAATTTTTATGTAAGTAGATAATGTTTGTCTTATCTCATGCTTTAAAAATATTCCCCTTCAGTCCACAATTAAGAAAATAAGCAATTATTTCATTCGCAAGCACTTGTCATTCAGACGGTACCAAATCGGGTGAAGTGAGTGGTAACCTGTGGACGCGGTTGCAGGCCCCTCTATCAGTGCCATCCGTGGCCTGTAAAATTCCTCAACTAAGTTGACAGAGTATCTTTTCAGAATTTTTTGGCCAATAAGACAAGTCAGGAAAACCAAAATTGCTGAAGATCATACATACAAGGCCTTGGACAGAGTCTGGAGCACAGATCTGAACTGCCTGTAGCCAGCCTTAAATCCTTCCCCGACCTACCAGAAGCCAAGATCAACAGCAATTAATATAAATGCAAGAAGTCCGGTCAGAAGGCTGAATGGGGTTTTTGATATTCAGAAGGCTGTCTTTCTGCATTGTTATTACCTGCTGCTGACTCAATAGCCGAAGGCAACCCCCCAAATCTGGTGATCTCTTTACTGTTTACTAAACATCACCTTTTTAAAAATATATATTTTTTATTGATTTTTTACAGAGAGGAAGGGAGAGGGATAGAAAGCTAGAAACACTGATGAGAGAGAAACATCGACCAGCTGCCTCCTGCACACCCACCACTGGGGATGTGCCCGCAATCAATGTATTGTACATGCCTATGACTGGAATCGAACCCAGGACCCCTCAGTCCGCAGGCCGACGCTCTCTCCACTGAGCCAAACCAGTTTTGGCTAAACAACACCTTTGATATGTCAGATTGCAATCCTAAAAGGCAATTGATTATTCTAGTAAATAAAAGGCAGATGGGAAGGGAAACTCAGTGGAACTTGGTCCCTTGTACCAAGCTCACAACTGGCTTCCCCCATAATTTCCAAATTTATATTTCTTGTCTTGTGTATTAATTTGCGCATCAGCCCTTTCTCCAGGTCTTTGAGTCCAGGGCAGATTGGCAGTGGCCTCACACCCTCCTGTCTGTGCACAGAAGACAAAGCAGCCACAGGAGCATCAGCTCTGGAGCCTGCAGACACCTTGGCATCTGGAATCATGCAAATGACATACAAAGGCTCCCAGCCAGGGATTCTCGTGAAGTGTGTGAACTATACAAACATGTCCTTAAGTTGGATTCTCCACACACGCAGCCCTGATTTCGGTCTCTGCTGAGTTGGGTACTTGAAAGGCTAGAGAATGACCTCCCCGAGAGGATGAACAAGAGCAGCATTCATATGCAAACTCAACTTGACCATTATAACCATGTGCCCAACATTGCAGAACCCCATGAAGGGAGACACAGATGAATGGGACAAGCCCCGTCTGCAAGAAGCTTATGGACTGGTTGTCGGGAAATGAAATGTGGAAGCTGGAAGGATTTAGTCACACATATTTATACTGTACTTTATGCCTTTCATGTCTTTCAATTCAACATAGCCTTTAACTCTCACCACCTACTTGGAGGAGGTAGGAGGGTAGTGGTTGTTCCTCTATTCAGAAGATGAAATTAACACTCAGAGAGGCCAAGTGACCAGCTCAGGGCACCAGAGAAGACAGTGGTAGGGTTGGGAGAAAGACACAGGTGTCCTAACCCCGTGACCCTGGGCTGCTATTCTTGCTAACCCATAGACAGGCATATGGGAGGAACCCTTGACTTGATGGACCCTAAGCAAGATGGCCACTCTGATGCTCAAAGAAAGAATAACAACTCAGCTTCATCCAAGTTACGAAAAAAAGAAAAAAAAAGAAAAGGCAATGGTTGGGCGTGGGCATATGTAATACTTTCAACAATCAAGATTTTGATGTATAAGACTTAAAAAGTTGATTTAAAAAACTCTTAAAAATAATTCATGAGGCCACTGAATTACCTGTGCGTGCTTTGAGACCCAGTGACGGAGGACATTCAGTACTCGATTGGTGGCTGTTCTACGGATAATAAACTCTTTGTCACATATTCTGTCGGTGTTGTTAAATCCTTAGGAAGGAAAGAAACACACACATGTTCGAGTTAAAGCCAGTCCCCCAGGAACGTGGAAAAAAGTCATTTATTTTAGAACATTTGTTAATGAAACTCACATTTTGATAGTGAAATGACACATTGTAGCAGTGAGATGCAAGTGGCTTCTGACTGCTGTAAACTCTGCTTACTTACCTGTATACCCTCAGAAATGAGTCCACCAGAATTACAGGTGCAATTAAATGAATAATGTTCATGTTTATTAAAGGTCACTGATTAAAGCTAAAGCTGGTCAAATGACACTTCCATTCTGCCTGCCTCGCTCTATAATATAAAGCTGAGAAGTTTTAACAAGTATTTGGGTCAGCATTAATTTATTCTTTTGCCCCAAAGTGATTATATAACTAATAGCATTTTCAATATTTGTAGATGGATGAGCCCGTATCTTGGCTACAACATGCAAATACTTCATTATGCATGGATATTTTGAGAAGCAGCATTGTGTAGTGGTTAAGAACATGAACTCCACAGTCTGGATTAAAACTGTTCTCCTATCATGCAAATTACATCACCTCTCTGGTGACCAGTTTCCTCATGTCCTGCGTGAGATAATAAGTGTACCTACTTCATGGAGTTATGATGGAGATTAAGTTATTTAATATATGTTAAGCATATTGGTTCAGTGTCTTGAATCCTCTCTGTGTTGGCCTGTGTCTCCATCTTAGTGATCTTTTCACTATCAAGAAACTAGTTTAAGATATTTTTTATTTTTTTAAAAAGATTCTGCCTTCCAATCATAATTAACCATAATTAATTAGTTATACATTTCCTTTAAAAATTAATTCAAGCTTTACATAACTTTAGTGGAAAACTTCTTGAAAATTGTCTAAATTACTCATTTCATTTCCTCATGTCCCATTCCAAGCTTCTCATCACCTCTCATCACCATAACAGTTGCCATTAAATTCACTAATAACCTCCATGTCCCCTGTAGCCAAGGTATCTCTATCATCTCTCAATAGAAACCTCATCCTATGATCACCTGTAAGAAAATATTTATATCCAAGATCTCTTTTTTAAGCTCCAAATCCATATATCCAAATTCCTCTTGACATTTTCCTCTTAGATGTTTCAAACTCATGGCCTTTCTGCCGAACCTTGTTCTCTTCAAATTTCCAATCTCAATAAAGGAACACCACCAGCCATTCAGTTAGATAAGCACCTCTACATGAGAAGTTAAAATAGAAAATGGCCCAGGCTGATGATAGCCACAGGGCTCCTGACAAAAGCACACACAAAACCTCTCTGAAGGGACATCCACTCAACCTGAGCCTATACTGGAAAGCCCCTGAAGAAAAACTCACAATCAAAATTATAAAACACACAAACCCTCCACCATGAACAAGGATCAGTAGACACAGGGATCAAGAACTCCCCACTCCTCCCATCACTACTACCAAGAATTTTAGGTACTAGAACTATGAGAACCAAAATTAAAATGTTTACAAAGACTAAAGTTGTAAAATGGAAATTGAAAACATGAGGAAAGAATAATAAGTATTTTAAAAGTCAGATTTTATAAGAACCACATAAAGCTTCTTCAAATTAATAAAATTATGCTTTCAACTATTATTGAAAAACAGAAAAGATGCCATTTAAAATCCAACAGGAAGATAACATAGGTTAGACTCAGCTGAATAAAGAAAGAGCAAACTAGAAAAAGATCTGAAAATTAGATCTAAGAAAATTACCCAAATGTAGTACAAAGAGCTAAGGGAATGGAAACAGGAAGAAAAAAAAAAAAAAAAAAGGTTAAAAGACATGGAGGTAAGAGAACTTTCAACATCTGTCTAGAAATGTGTCAGAAGAAGAGAAAAAAAAGTTAGAAAGAGGCACTGTTGGAAAAGGGTTCTTCAGATTTGATGAAAGACATGAATCTGCAGGCTTAGGAATCACAATGAATCCCAAGCCAGATAAATACATGGAAACCACACCTTGACAAATTGTGATATGGTAGAACTCCAAGAAAAGATATCTTTGAAGCAATTGGTAAGAATATATATGTTATCTATAAGGGACAGGCAGAAAAAGAGGGTGGAAAATGGGGAAGTTATATTAATCAAATTAGAGCATAGGCTTCAACTGGAGTGAGAGCTGGGAAATAATGAGACAGCATTTTTTGGGAGGATATCAAATGCTCTTAAAATACTAAAAAAGTGGGATAAGACAGCTCCCCACCCACATGTATAACTAAAGATGGCTAGTCAGTGAGACAAGAACAGAAAGGGTGAAAAGCGAAGATGAGAAAGGGACTGAAAGATGGAAATCAAAGTGAAATGGTAAGAGAAAAAAGCAATTTTAAGAGAGCTGCTATTCATTTAAAATATTTTAGAAGGGGTGGGGCGGGGAGCATTTACTACCATTGATCCCCTGTGTCTGTTTCAGGGGTGGGTGAAGAGGGGAGTTTACTTTGAAAGACAGGCAAGGAAGGCAAGGAACTTTCTTCTGCTCTCCAAATTATTTAGAGTAACACATAAAAAGACCACTTAAGAGGTGTTTGTTTGTTTGTTTGTTTGTTTTTTAATAAAGTTTCCTATGTTTTCATAAATTCAAATCCCAACCTCCATTACCATTTAGGTTAGGATTTGATTATACTTCTTGGATAGTCTTCATAACTACTTCTAATTACCATGTTTTGAACTTTTTAAGGTAGAGCATAGCTTGGTAAGTTCTTGAACATCTGTTTGCTTTCCAGAGTTTATCACCTTCTGCCACTCTAAGGGTTCAAAAATTCTCTTGGAAATTGACCAGACACTAACTTAAGCGACCTTCCTCAATGCCCACTCAGCCAGAGTAGGAGGGTCAGCCAAAGGTAGGACCAGCCTTCCAAGTACAGCGGGAACACCAAGAACCAGGAAAGGGAAACTCCAAAGACACACCTTCTACTTTCCCCTGCACAGGGGACCCAGCGCTGATATGATTCCAGGATGAACAAGAAGTAAAATTCAGGGCAAATTATTTAACCTCTCTGTGGCTCAGTTTTCTCACTCATAAAATGAAGAGAATAGTGTTGCCACATGAAGTTGTAAATAAGAAATAGATTTATTATTTAAAAAATATAAAGTTCTCACCTATAGCTTCATCTATTCATCCCTTTGACCCAATGGCCTTCATAATATACTTTTGACAGAATGCCAGCCATAAGGACAGCATGCTAGTCATAAGGATAGTCAAGCTCTTCATTTTCTTTCTGAAAGACCCCTTTTACTGTTTGAGCAACAGATCTTAGGCAGAAATACTCTCTCAGTTCTATTGTAAACCACCTATAATTTAACCAGATGCACAAGCCACCTATCTGGGGGGCATAACTTAGGCAAATCCTGATAGATCATGTTTTATAAAGGGGCTACTGCTTACTCAGGAGTTGGAATTGCCTCATGGGCTTAGCTGACATGTGTGGTCTCGCTGTAACAGAGCGTATAGATCCACCCGCCTGACCAGACAAGACTATCTCCCCATTTTTCAGTCTTGAAAGCTATAGGATGAGAGCCATAATTTTCCACCAACTGGCCAGATTTCCTCCTTACTGCCAGCACCCATCTAAACGGGGCTGCTTGGGTAATTATTCCTAATTTAAACGTGAACTACCCAGCTAATCAGTGGCAATTTCCAAGCAGAGGCCATTCTGTCCTAGAATCACAGGTTCACCCCCAAGGAGTGTTGTGACGTTCCTGGAACAGCAAATAGCAAATCTTTGTGGGGCTTTGAACATCTTTCATTTGCCAAGTGTGACAGCACAACCAAACTCGACATGTACCGGGAGAGTTTATTTTACTTATATCACACATTGAGCATACTGTCACCCCAAGATTCCTGTCTATCAAAATTTTTTTTATTATTGTCTAAAGTTTTACCTATGTCTTCTTTTTTCCCTTCTTGACATTCCCTCTCTCCCCCTCAGCCATTCCCATCCCAGGCAAGCCCCACCACTACAGTATCTGAAGTGTCTATCTAATTTATGAATATTACTTTTTAGTTGTAGGCATTGGCTGGTAAAACTGGCCAATTTGGGCAACAAAAGTCATCTGGGGAAGTGGTAAGGACCAAATCACCATACATATGAATTTAAGAATGAGATTCAACTTCATTGTCCTTTCTCCAGACGCCGTCTGAGTCATTTTACCCCTTAAAGCACATGTGTCAAACACAAGGCCCGCGGGCCAAATCCGTCCCGCCAGGCCTTGCAATGTGGCCCGCACCGTGCTTTCATCACTGCACTCCGCTGCGTTTCCATCACAATGACAGTTTATGACTGTTCAGTAAACCATTCGGCCTACGATTTAGGCTGGATTTTAGATTTTGGCCCCTTCTCTGATTGAGTTCGACACCCCTACCTTAAAGCAACTGGCAGATGTGCCAACTCTCGCACTAAACTATACTCCTTAGAGAAGAGATTTTACTAATATTTCAAGCACCTTTGTAGGCTCTTGAGCTTTGCACATAGACACTCAGCCAATATTTTTCTTATAAAAAAATTGCATCGCTCCCAGGAGAAATGATTCTGAAGTGTCTGCAAATGCTACATAACTGAGTTAAGGTCATCCTTTCACCCTACTACCATGAAGACTATGAATATGAAATCTGTCACAAGCAGAACTTAGGACAAAGTCATGGAGATTGGGGGCAAGGATGCTGAAAAACAGAGAAAAGCAAGGAAATTTTCATTTTGTTCTTCAACTGATATTGCATAGTGGCCCTGAAGACACTAATGAGCAATGAACAAATGCTACAATGTTTTGTGCCTCTTAAAAAAAACTTTTTTTTTTTTTATAAGTGTGTCCTTATCCTTCAGTGTTTAGGTTCTCCTTCTTACACAGGTCAACCTGAGATTTTTTTTTCTCTACCTGTAATTAACTGTAACAGAATGAAAAATTTAATGCATCTTTCTAGACTGAGGAAAAGTAGCTCAGCAGGTCCATCATTCTCTGTGATGAAGAATGGCAAAATCAATGTCTTTC